ACTATGAAATACTGGTCTTGCTCGAAGTAATCATCTTTCTTATCTACCTCTTCATTCTCTTCCAAAGCTTCGTGATTTTTCTCGAACTCATAACACCGTTTTTTCACCTGCTCCATCCTCGATAGACACGCGCCTATTGTCATCAGGCCTTTACCAAGCTACGCAAAGTTTTCAAACGATCTACTTATCATTCCTGCTTTCATGAGTTGAGCTTCCATTTTGCAGTACTTTAGACTTCAATACAATCACTCAATTTGACCGATTTACCAAAAACCAATAACACAGCAGATATTCCCGGGTTTCGGTGCCAATGTTTTTTGCATTAAGAGTCAAAAACATAATTCTCTATATTTAGATAACTATAAATCGGCTTGTGAAGTGGGTGGGAATCGGCAAATCAAAAAAACAGTATATTTAAATTAATATAATTCTATTTATTTTTAACATGCTTATAATTATACAATGATAGAATAATAAGCGAATAAACAAAATGATTCCAAAAAAAAACCTTTGATGTCACAATACTTTCAATTAAAGTGAGCAGAAAACTTAATTTATTTGAGCTTGTAATGCCGGAACGGTATTATGGTTTAATAAGTCGCCCGACGAATCATTGTCGGTCAAGGCCAATAATAATAATTTAATATTACGAGAGACTGCGTGATTGTTCCTTTTATGTTATATGTCAATAAGAGAGGACGATCGAATAGACGGGCGAAGTCGAAGCAGCGCGAAAAGAGAAGATGACAGTTAATTACCGTTGGATCGGTAGAGGCACAGGTCGCCTAAGATTTGAGTTGAGCGAACGTAGTGTGTTTTCTCGCGAGTCGCGAAATACGTGCGTAGATACGTCGTCGAGTGTAACCGAGCGTAAGTGCTGGCACGAGGTAGTCCAGGAGACTACCTACGTCGAGCCGCAGGTGTGAGTGCGAGTGTGAGCTCTAAGCCCTCGGTCGAGGGGTGCGTATAATTGTGTGCTCGAGGTCGTGCCAGTGGGTGTGTGCTTGTGTGAACGAGTCGATCTGATCATCGCTGCAGAGGTGATCGGCCCCGAACTCAACGAGCCACAACGTCGTCTGTTACAGGGACCAGCCGCGTCGGCCGTCGGCGGGACGGTCTCACTCTCTTCGAGACCAATTGTAGTTAATAATATAAGTCTATTAATAAATCGTTATTGAGTATTCTAACAGAGAATAATGAGAGTCGTTATTCATGAATGTATGTGCGTGTGATTAGTCCCTTTTCCCTGTATTGCATGAATCTTACAGGTAGACCCCGGACGTGCAGAACGGATCCACAAGCCCAAAAGACACACGTAACCGACGAGGTACGTCGGGGGTAAGATTTCAGGTTACAAGCTATAAATTATTCGTTCGGCATCTGCCGTTCCTGAGAAGCTGTCTTGAGCTTGCAACTCTCAAGCTCTCGTTCGATATAATAGCCTGCGCGCTGCTCCTGCTCGATAAATTGTAGTAACGGCGATCGAAGGCCAGACCTTCCAACCATTCAACTCAAGGAGTTGACTTGGCGTTCCGAAAACTCAATGAGTTCTCCGGCCAAGCCAACTCCGAGTTGCGCGGCGACTCGAAGTGTAAACACTTCGCTACCACGACTCACTCGTCGAACAGAACAACTCGCAAGCAAGTTGTCCCGTTCGATCAGTTAATCAAATCGTACACTGCGAGAGCAGGCTGGCTGATAAGCTCGCGGCCTTACTCGCTCGCATGCGGGTACTACCGTGGGTCATAGACGCCACCTAGCTGTAGAGATCTAATCATAATTCGATTTAAAAAATTCAAGTAAATCAATTAACAATAGAAAAAAAGAAGCGCTGCAAAATGTGTAACTAAAGTCACATTTAAAGGTAAAAAATTAAAAAAGTAAATAAATAAAATAAACCAAATACTTTTTTATATTAGTTGGTTTAATTACTCGAATTTTAGATCGAATTACTTGAATTGTTTAATATTCAATTCTATTTTTAATGTTCATAAAGACGTTACACATCTTACAGCTGTTCTTATACAGCTGATTTTGTTTTCTATTGTAATTTTTATCGATTTTAATGAAGCTGATTTTTCGATTTATATTGCAGTCAATACTTTCCGATTAATTGTGATTTCGTTTAATTAGGGCCGAGGCCGCATGCGCGGCTTCTACTTACATTACCTCCGTTTCAAAACGAATTTAAGTTTAATTCAAATTTTCGATTTAGTTTTAATAGTTGTGAGCTTTAGGTTTGGTTATGATTGCCGAGGCCGCTCCGCGGGCTCAACATATTACGAGCCTTCACCAACAAATTTGATGAATTTAAAAACTCCTTTACTCAAAATATTCGTTAAAAATTGATAAATTTGTAGTTACATTTACGTAAATTTATAAAAATTAGTGTACCAGAACACTACGATTTATGATTTACGATTGTAGACATGTGCGCGAAGCTATACAATAACTCGAGTTATTATTTGACCGATCAACACGCATAAAAACGCAACGCGCGAGCGAGAGACAGAGATGCAGAGATACACAACGCTACGTTGTACATTTCATAGAAATGAGTGCTGACTGCTGAGTACTGCTCGCCCATGCTGTGCGTGTCGTAGCAGAAGCAAGCTGACAGTCACTCGACACTGCCTAGCGTCGACCAATCACGGCGCGAGAAGCAAACAGACGCTACTGAGACTAAAAACCTATGATTATCGCGCTCGCTCGCTCGCTTGTTTTTCACGGATTCACTAGCCTACCCAACGAGCCATAAGACGTAACACATCAAAAATCACTTTTTACGAAGATGACGTGAGATTGAAGAATAAAGACTAAAAAATTTAAGAAAAAAATTTTTTATTACTTTTTTCTGCCCTCAACATTGAGCAATTAATGGCATGTAAATATATAATTTGTAGGATGCTGAAAACTCAATTGCGATGTATATGAGGAAGCGCCGCAGCTCTCTATGTCATATTTGCCAAAGGGAGCGTGAAGCGCTTGCCTCAATAAACGAGCTGAGAAAATAAATTACGATACTATTTTTGCTTCCTCATAGAGGAAGCTTTGTGATGGGCCCCATTTTGACTTTCGTATATAATCCTCGTAGGGTATATTCAATGATATTTCTATATACTAGATCGAATTTCTCACACATGTTGGTATGTATGTGTGTGTGTGTGTGTGTGTGTGTGTTTTTTTTTTTTTTTTTTTTTTTTTTTTTTTTTTTTTTTTTTTTTTTTTTTTTTTTTTTTTTTTTTTTTTTTNTTGTTTTCCATACATCCCCCATCCGTCGCATAGTGATATGCGACGATTAGGGGTTCAGGGACTCATCTTTATCTTCTTGGTGAACCTCCGATCCCGCACGATGCCGTCGGCGATTGTTGTATCCCCTTTTTTATAGCCATCTATTGCGTGGGCTCACATTGCTGGTATCTCCTCCTGAGTTGGGCCTCTCTTCTTAGAACTCGCTGTCAAGTGCCATCTTGTGAGTGTGGTTGTCGCTTCTGCAGCCGATGGCAAGTCCGCCGCTTTGCTCTGTCGGCTACATCTTGTGAGTGTGGTTCTCGCTTCCGGCGCTACGCTGTGAGTCTCCGTGAGTTTTTGAACTCCTCCTTTTCTGTTGTCGTCTTGTGAGTGTGGTTCTCGCTTCAGGCGCCATCATGCGCTTCACCAGAGCCTTGGCTCTCGCATCCCGTCCTCTTGTGAGTGTGGTTCTCGCTTCCGACTTCTTCATGGGAGTGGTGTGCTCCATCTATTGCAAGCCTTGTGAGTCCTCGCCTCGGGCTCCTACTTATGGTTTTCCTACCGCTTCCAGCTCGCACAGTGATCGGGGTTTTTTACCGCTTCGGAGGCTGATGACATAGCCCGGGTCTCCTTTTTGAGTGGTACCCGCTCCACCTCAGGCACAGGCTCGACCACACCAGGCGAAAAAACGAACCTCGAAAATTCGTCTGGTGGGGATCGAACCCACGCCCTACGGCGTACCTTGTATCAGCAGGCAAGAACTATACCCACTGAGCCAAGGAGGCCGATGTGTGTGTGTGTGTATGAGTGTGTGTGCGGCTGTATGTCTGTGCAGAGTGATTCCTCGATAACGGTAGCACGTATGGTAATGGGGGAGGGCTTATTTTGTTCGTTGTGATGTAAGGATGAAGCCTGAAAACTTGATTAAGCGATAAATGAAGAAAAAAAATTGTTTTTTTTGATTTTCAAAAATTAAAAAAAAATTTTTTTTTTTTTTTTAGATAAATCTTTACATCAAAATTGCCGTTCTTTCATTAAAATTTTTAAGAACGAATGCACGAAAATACACATACGGCACGCGAGCGAGCGTCTTGTACGCCATTATCCGTGCACGTACTTATAAGCAATGGTCTATCAGCGAAGATATAGGAAAAAAGCATTAGATATACGCAGCGTGAAGGGAAGAGGCGCAGCATATTATACGCATATAAGCTTATCGTTGCGTGGCGGAGATTGTACGAGTGCAACAGATTTTTCAAATTTTCATTAAAATTCCAAGACGAAATGCAACTAATTTTACGTACTGCACATTGTACGCGCGCGTGGCTTCTCGCCACGCCATAAAGTATGTCAACAAAAATTATATATCAAAGAATAGAAGAACGTTGGCAATTGATTCCACAAACAGAAATAATTTATGATTGAAACTGTTTTGTGATCAAATTAGAAAGATGATATTAATATTTTCAAATTATTTTTAAGTTAAAAAAAAAGTATGAGGAAGCTACTTGCCAATACATTGGCAGCGGTTCTTCTTTTTTCTAACCAGCAATAGTCCCTTAAAAAAACATAGTTTTACATCAAAAACTAAAATTCACTTTTCAACATTTTACTTTCATGTTTTTCAATTTACAAGATTTAACACAAGTGTGCCCTCTTATTATGAAATTTCCCAAACACAGCTTTATCTTATAAATTCTCATTGTCAGATTATTAATACGATATAGTTAATTAAAAATTAGTTTGGTAATAGTTTTTTATAGCCTTACCCATTTACTCTTCCATTGTGATCTCCATTTAAGCCACTGCCATTCTGTAAAACGAAACAAAGTATTTAAAAAAAGTTTTCACATCAAGTTAATGATATCAAATTCAAAACTTTATCTTAAAACAATAACTGCGTTTGTACGCTGTGATCTCAAAGATTTTCTTTTTAGTAAACGGCAAAAAAGAAAAACGAGATTTTAAAATTCTATTATAAATTTTTGAGTTTAACTTCATTTGGCACATTTAATATGGAGAGTTAATCCTGTAATAAATGATAAAAAAAACTTTTTTCACTTTTCTTAAGGTGATGCCTTGGCCACAATTTTTACTAACCGAGCACAGAAAATGTATATTATCGTAACTTTTTTTCCAGGCTAATTTTCGAAAAACGGCTCTGTGCAGCCCTCCGTATTATTGCTGTGAACAACTGCGACAAATTTCAGCCAATTTCATCGGATATTTTTAATATCCGATATTTTTATCAATAATCTATAAGCTGATGAGATCCAGAATGTACGTTAGAAAGAGCTTGCATGACTTATTTTTCCCGGTTTACGATGTCTATGTTTCTCGTACATAATTTCAATACACGTGTTAGTAAAAAAATTTTTTATCAGCGAAATTTGAAAATTTGATCGATATTTTTTTATTTTGTTATAAAATATTTAGTCACACATTTTTCGAGCTGAAGGTTTCGAGTCATGATTGGGTCTTAATTTATTGCTCGTTTTATAAGATGCTCTGCATCTGCCGACATATTTCCATCTCCTGTCGCAGTAAGAATAAGTATAGGTAATTGGTGAGCTACTTTCCTTGCATTATAGAATAGGTAATAAGCATCAAAAATTTAAATTTTTTCCACAAAATTCAGCACTTTCTTATTCCCCTGCTTTACACTGGTACAGGGTACTCATTTCGAAAGACGAGTCACAAATTAAAAATTTTTTTTTTAATTTATGCGCGAAAAAACCGCGAATATGAAAACAAAATACCATAAATGCTGAAGTTAGGTCACAAACAAGAGTACCGTGAGTACGGAAAATCGCGAATATGGAATTCGCGAATAACGAGGGTACCCGCAAATAGCGGGTACTCCAGTGCCGTGATCGGAATTTCAAAATTTTAACTTTACCGTGATGTACAGCTTATTTAGTACCGATACTTTTACGATTATTAAGTAAAAATAAATGAAACGACTCAAAGATATATCGTTGCCATTCTCTCATGAATCTCGATTTTTATTTTTATTTTTTATTTTAGTTGATTACGGCCCTTTCTGCTACTAGGCTAATTGGCCAACTTCACCGTTCTACCTAACGGTGGGTCTTGCGTGTATATGTAAGTGTGTGTGTTAGTGTATTAGCGTGTACCTATAGTCGATATGGTTGCGCCTCCCATACCACTGAGGTTACGCTTTGATAATGGTGTGACCCCCAACACCAGAGACCGCAGTTGAAGAGCACCGGCTTTTTTCCAAGGAAAATTTCCACGGATCACACCCAACGGTGCAAACCCCGCAGAAAAAATCCTCGGGAAAAAACCAGCCCACCGCCGGGATTTGAACCCCCGACTTCTCGGTTGAGAAGCAAGAGCTCAAGCCCCACAGCCACCGCGGCCTCCATGAATCTCGAGACTTTCATAAGTCGGTAGCGCCATCTATTGATACTCGTTTTATTCTTTGGTATATTAGCGTATACTAACATTTTAGTACAACTTATAAAATGTAGTAATGAAATTGGAGCATTTGGCTTTGTGTGGCTGTCTGGGATAATTGAACATTGTCCTTGTGGGTCCAATATGTTGAAAATTCAAATCGAATTACTGTTCTTTATCGTCCAAAAAGTTTTAAGCAGCCTCAGTGACATGAGTGTATCATTATGACATATATTGATGTATTTTGGTTTTTTTCAACTCTTGGGCAGTTACGTTTCATCTCAAAATTGCTTTGTTGTCGTAACTTTCCATGTGAACGGTTTGAGCAAATGAGCTGAAATTTTGAGGGATTGTTCTACATAAGAATGGCTACAAACGCAAGCACTTTCAAAGGTATTGGGACAAATGAGCACTTTTTTCAGGCTATGATGTAGCATAATCTGTCATTTTATCATATATATTAATGAATATAAGTGTATATGTGGCTGGCAAATTGTGTATAACTAATTAAAAAATCTGAAAGTGCTTGCGTTTGTAACCACACATCTAATGATCAAAATGAGACCTCAAGGGCCATGATTGAACCATCGGTTCTAGCTGGATCCTACGGCACAGGGGTACCTGTCAGGACTGTGGGCTTGCTTCATCGAGGAGGGTTCTATGGTGACTGGGACCTCAATTTTCATATTCCAGAGTGAAAAACTTTGAAAAAAGAGTGAAGAAAACAGAGTTTTCTCTGTATATTCCAAAAAAAATTTTTTTCTTCATAATTAAGAAAATTTTTCATAAATGTAGGTTTAAGGTACCTTTCCCCCCTTAAACAAATGTCTTAAAGGGAACTCATTAGCATATAAACATGCTTTCCATGTATAGGTTGATTCAATACCAATTCTATTTTGCTTGTTACACCGCTGTAAACTCCCACGTATAAGTGAGTTCCCCCATCGAAACCAATTGTCATAAAAAATTCAGAACTAATATTATTACAATTTAAGAAGACTCACATTTTTTTTGAAATCTTGATAAAGTCTTCTTTTTTTATTGAAAAATAAAAACATTGACAATTATTTGGGTACATGAAGATGTTAATTATTATATTTATTATTATAATTATATTTCAAATATAGACTTTTCATCCAGCTACATATGATTAATTTTTTAAATTTCTCTATCTTTGCTCCGAAATTTTTATGATAAGACTGATATTGTTATGAATTGGAACGGAGAGCCCATGTTTTTATATAAAAATTGCTTTTACGCAAAAAACGCTTCTATAGAAAAAGCAATTTTTTTATAAAAAATTTTTCTATCTATGGGTCAAAATAATACTTTATTACAAAACCGTGCGCGCGTATGTCACTGATCTTGACGCTCTTTTGGTATGTTATAATACATGGTATAAAGGTTCCAAAAACAAAATTTCAAACCCCCTCCTCTCTCGCTACCCCCCCCCCCCCCNCCTACCCCCCACTTCCGGTATAAACATCAATTTTCTATTTATATTTATTCTGAAGCCCTGAGGTAATTAAAAAATCTGAAAAAATTCATAAAAATATTTTTTATGAATCCAAACAACCTTGAATTTTTCCAGATTTTTGGAGTGCTTCAGGCTTTTAGATAAAATCATTGAAAATTCTGAAAATCAAGATACGGCGATATGAGCCAATGTAGAACTCGGAAATTTTCAGTTTTTTTCACATTGAAAAACGTAACCTTAATTTTTTTCAGATATTTTAATTGAAAGCGACAGATAATAGGTTCCAGTAAAAAAATTTGAAAATATGTTTTTTGAATTCCTTGTCAAATTTTAATTAATTTGACCGTTTCCAGTTTTCGATTGAAGCCTCCTAGCTCAATCGAGAGCAGCAAACTAGTTTTATCATTCCTTTATGTCTTCAGAAACGTCTTCAGAATTTTGCATTAATCTTTGTCATGCTCTAGATATACTAAAAGCGCGTCAACATCAGTGATATACGTGCGCACAGTTTCGTAAAAAAGTATTATTTAGACTCTTATTTGTATTATTTGTATTATTTGTATTATTTAAGGTATTATTTGAGCTCTTCATTCCAATTGATAACAATTTCAGTCTTATCATAAAAATTACGGAGCAAAGATAAAGATATTAAAAAAATTAATCATATGTAGCTGGATGAAAAGTCTATATTTGATATATCAGTATAACAATAATTATCATCTTCATGTACACAAATAACGATTGATACTGACAAGACCACGATTCTCAGGCCTCGGTTCGAGTTCGTGCAATGGCTGCAATCCCCTCAGTCGCTCGTCCGGGAGTACACTACTAATAGGCATCCAAGGGTTCACAATTCTCGACTGAAAAGTTCTGATAAAGAGCTGATTCAGCTCATCAACGCTGACAGGCAGCTCGGCAGATCTGCCAGCCCACGAGCAAAGTCCGAGACAGCCCAGCATTCTCCACTTTGAGGCCAAATCAGCGCAATCACGAAAGCGCTCAATGTTCTCCAATGTTTTCCAAGCTTTGTCTCGAGTCACTCTGAGCTGCTTCAATTCTGGTGAGTACCAGGGCTTAGGCCGAATCCTCTGCACGATGTAGTCCTGGGTGAAAAGGTCAAATTTTTCATGCACCAGATGTGAAACATCGATGCTTGTGCTGGTATTTTCGGACTTTTCTTTTTCTTGATTTTTTAGGTTATACTTTTCGTTTTAACTTTTACTTGTTTGATTCGTGTCTTTTTTCACTTTTTTCTTGTTTGATTTAGATTTCTACTTTTTTTATTTAAATTTATTTTTGATTTTCTAGTTTCTAGTTTGTTTTTAGTTTTTTACTGATTTATTTTTAACTTATTTGATTTATGAATTTTCATGTTTTTTTTTTTAATTCTTTAAGTTTCTTTAATTTATTGATAAAGATGTTACACATCTTGCAGCTGTTCAAAAACAGCTGATTTTTTAAAAATTTTTCTTTAATTTTTTCAATTTTTAATTTGTTTTTCGTTTAGATTTTTTCATTAGAAATCACGTTTTCAAAAAATCAACTTTCAATTGTAGCTTCGAAAATACATTTTTATCAAATTATTTATTGCTGAATTAAAATATTAAATTAGTGCATTCAGCGGTTATCGCTCGGTATTGATATGACATAAAAACATAGACTTCCTTGCACAAGTCATCGCCGAATCAAAATATCGTCCTAGTGCATCGAGCGGTTATCATTCATTGTATGTTAATATACAGGGTGTCCCAAAAGTATGGAAACCTTTGAAAAGCGGCCAAAATAAGCGGGAAAAAAATCGATAACCCTATATTCGACGTATTTTTTCACGGGAAATCCAATGGTGACCTTGGATTTGACCTTGAACATATCCTCAAAGCTGCAGCGACTCAAAAATCAATTTTTCAAATGTA